AGAAAAAGAAAAAGAAAACAAAATCTCTATCACAAGCAGGTGTGCGAGATGATAAATTTTTTATTCGATAACGAATGGAAAACGAAGAAGTAGCGATAGGTAACGTCGATGGTAAGAAAGAAGAAATATTAGTTGTAGTAGAAAAGAGAGGTAAAATCGAAGAGAGGCGTCTTGACAAATGAAGAAAGCGGCATCCCTTTGAATTCGCTAGCTGGCAAAGAAAACTCCCACTCTTCGATTTATCCTGTTTCTCTCTTTCTCTCTCTCTCTCTCTCTCTCTATCTATCTATCTTAAGAAGCGCAAACTTTCCACGTTACAGCCCTCCTTCTCCATGTTTGGTGGTATAACGTCTGTAGAAAAAAAAAAAGAAGAGGAAAAAAAAAAGAAAAAAAAAAGGAAAAAGGAAAAGAGAAAAGAGAAAAGAGAAAAGAAAAAAGAAAAAGAAAAAAAAATGTTAACGAGCAGGACGTAGGTCTGAGAAGACGTAAGGTTAAGCGAGTGTCCATCTTGCGAATGGGTGAACGGGCCCCGATCTTTGCTAGCCTGACATGAAGATGAGAGGGAGGGAGAGATAGTGGAGAAAGAGGAAGAGAGAGAGAGAGAGAGAGAGAGAGAGAGAGAGAGAGAGAGAGAGAAAGGACATGACTTCGTCCTGTCGTTTCCAACGATTATGTCGAATACATAGACATATACATACACACAATATAGAGATTGTGTTAATAATAATTCACAATTTTACATATCGTCCGACTCGATCGGCATCGGGATAATTAAACGGACTAATCACCGACGATCTCTTCACCGACGTTAATGAGCAGATATCCTTTCATGCATCGTCGATGTGTTTCCTCGGTTTCTCTTTAGAATACATATTTTATTGAAGATACTCAGGGTTCATCCCTGGACAACTGATAATTATACGTTCTTAATGAGTAACATCTTATATATGCTACTCGCGGTTGCCATTTCGCTTATATATTAGTTGTTATTATTTATCGATGAAGATATTTATAAATAGATCCAATGTAAACTTTTTAAATGCCCATATCTATTTTATTATTTTCTCTTTACGGTAAAATCATTGATAAACGATTATTACGAATATCGAAATACATATTGAAATTTAACTTAATAACAATCATTTTTACTCACGTAGTTATCTCTCCAGTGGCGACATCTAACGGGAATATAATTTTCGACGATGATAAAGGGGTCAAAGGGAGAAAAAAGAAAGAAAAAAAAAGAAAAGAAAAGAAAAAAAAAAAAAGAAACATAAAGAAAGACCGACGTAGTCTTTCGGGTGGTTCAATATCGAACTATGTATTGACTTTCTCTGCTCTCTCTCTCTTTCTCTCTCTCTCTCTTTCTCTTTCTTTCCCCATCACTACTATACCAACGGCAAAAGAATCATTAGTCACTGGCGAGACGTTTTCCTCGGTCCCCTTCTTCTTTTTTAGGGAGATGCAAAAGTATTTTAAAAGCTCGCGGTATACTCGAGGGTGGTAGAGGTGTTTATGGTAATCTTACAAAACTCTCTCTCTCTCTCTCTCTCTCTCTCTCTCTCTCTCTCTCTCTCTCTCTCTCTCTCTCTCTTTCTCTTTCTCTTTCTCTGTAAAACACCAAAGGTGGTCCTTGACTACACCGATCATTTTTCAGCTTCTCCTTGAGATCTTCGAACCGATCTCGAAGAAAGTAAAGGGCTAGATCTATTGATTGTAAGAAGAATATTTAAAAAAAGAAAAAGAAAGAAAAGAGAGAGAGAGAGAGAAATCATTCGTTAAAAGGATATAATCAATTTTATTCTACACCTGACACCTGTTAGGTACGACATAAGACTACCAACTCTTTTCCTTCTTGTCATCAATTTATCTATCCACAACCTTATATCCAATATGGCGCTTTTTCTTCTCTTACAACACTAAAAACATTTTCAATTTGTAATTCATTATCTAATATTTCTCTGTGTGTGTGTGTGTGTGTGTGTGAAGCAAATATGTTTATTTCATATAATATAGGAACTGACAGACGTCGAATAGATTATATTTCTCGCGATATCGAAACGACAATTACTTATGCAAGTATTATATGAGATTTTGATCGATTTAACAGTTATAACTTTAACCGACGCTATTATTGCCATCTATTGGAATGTTTTATGAAATAAATAGAAAAAAGAAAAAGAAAAAAAAAAACAAGAAATGATGAAAAAAAAAGAAAGAAAGAAAGAAAGAAAGAAAGAAAGAAGGAAGAAGAGAAAAGAAAAAAAATGGTAAGAAGATTTTAAACCTTTATACCGACCGCCTGCAAGGAAGTCTTCTACTTTCCGAGAGGGCGCCACTGATAAAATCCAAAGGAAGTAACTTAGTAATCATTGATTGATGACTCAAGTAGATATATTTGATCTACATATGAAAGAACTCAAATAATGTCATAATATAATAATTATTATATTTTTATTTATCGAGCTAGAAATAAATATACAAATTATCTCTCTTGTTATTTGTAAAAATGTAATAAATAATAGCAATGCATTAAATTATCTAACATATAACTTATTGGAAAAAAACATGAAAACATTTTTTTTTCTCTCTTTTTGATTTTCTCTCTCTTTCTCTTTCTCTCTCTCTTTATATATATATATATATATATATATATATATATATATATATATATATATAAAAAGAAGATGAAAAGAAAAAAAATCAAATTCTATTCTATCCATTCCATCTTCTTTCATAATTCTTTACGGAAAATGCAATGTTTACGATTTATGCTACGATGCAATTACATAACAAGAGGAATTACGTATAAAGCGTGGTAATACTAACGCACGTAAGGAAAGGTCGAAGATCGAGAGGCAAGGAAAAAAAAAGAGGAGTAATCATGAAGCGAAGGATTCCTCGATAAATTACGCCCGATCGTTAAGGACAGTTTGGACAATGATTACGCGATGCAACGCGATGCAACGCGATAGTCTTCCTTATTATCTATGTATATTATGAGACTTGGTTGGATTTAGATCGTTAGTACTGTAAACAACAACGTGTTGTTGTGAAATTCTTTGCATGCAATATGTTTTACACGTTTGCAATCTACATAAATAACGTACACATACATATATATATATATATATATATATATATACATATATATACATATGTAATAATATAATGACATACAAAAGAAAAAAAAAAAAAAAAAAGAAAAAAAAAAGAAAAAAAAGAAAGATATATGCGTATCTATCTCACTTTCTTCTCTTTTTAATCATTCAAATGTAAACAAAATTTCATGTATTCTAATTAAGCTTTATCATATTGGTTATAATGATATATACTTCCGATATTTTAAATTTCTTGGAATAGCTTTCTCCAAAAATTAGCACTTATCTCTATTTCTCTCTTTCTCTGTTCCTACTTCGACCTCATATCTTCAATTTTAATGATTTCAATAATCGATGATTTTATATACTTCCACTACCTAATCATTTTACACATCCACATACATACATACAACTGGCGCGCGGGCGAGCGCACGGACGTAATTTCTTACTATCCAAAGAATAATAATCGATTGTGTTAGATAAAATAAAATTAATTATTTCATATACGAACGTAAATTACAAATTATATCAAATGAAAACATTGATACTAACTTATTCTAAACATTTTCAAAATTACCACGGATGAAGAGGATTGACCGTTCCTGGAATTCTGCAAAACGACATCACCGCCAAACTTTTTCGTGGTATCAACGTTTTTGAGATTACCTTACTGATATACGATATCACTAATATTGTCACTGTATTACGATAAAAATACTTGGAAATGTTTCTTTTTTCATTTTACACAGGGATCGAACAAAAAGCATGCATATTATTTTTGATAACGTAATAAATATAATTTTCGATGTACGAACGAACGAGCAGAAAGAATCACAAACTATCGTTCGTATACACGCACATGTTATAACACGAGCTAGTAATCGTACGGCAAAAGATCGTCATTGTCTACGCGAAGAAAATACCGATCTTAAATATACGTTTAACAGACGATAACAGAAAGACAATGAGGAGGTAAAGTGTTCGGTCTTGGCAGCAATCCTAACAAGATATCTCGATTTGTATCGGAAATACAACGCATGAAAAAGAACAAAAAAAAAAAAAAACAAAAAAAAGAAAAAAAAAAAAGAAAAGAAAACAAAAGAAGAAAAACAAACGAAAGGAAAAAAAAAAGAAAAAAGGAAAAAATTTTCAATCTGTGAAGATCCGATTATCGTTATTGTACTTAACGGAATTTAAAAGATTTCCCGCCAAAAAAGTACTCCTTATCGTTATCAATCAACGAGCGATCTTTTCATTTCTTTTTTTTTCGAACTTTTCTCACGACCTTCACCGATACTCTCGATCGAAGGAGAAAACAAGAGTACGAGAGATTTTCTTTTTCCTTCTTTTTCTTTTTTTTTTTCCCCCCCATTACGAGCCGACTTTATCTCAATGATTACGATGACTTAATCTTCTCCGTCTTTCTCTATAGCATCGGGGAAAAAAAAAAAAGTTTACAAAGTGGGAAGGTCTAGCACGCGATCCCGACGAGAAAGACTAATATTCGCGGGCGTCTTTATAGAAGTTGATTTTCACGATGACGTCAGCAACGAGGCAAAGCGAAGAGAGTCCTCGTGTGTCTCAAAAACATTGAAGTGTTTCTCTCGAACCGGTTGTACACCTTTGAGTTGCTCTCAGAAAACCAAAAAAAAAAAAAAAAAAAAAAAAAAAAAAAAAAAAAAAAAAAAAAAAAAAAAAAAAAAAAAAAAAAAAAAAAAAAAAAAAGTCACATCGGCAAAAATCGGATGGTCCCTTTTAAGATGAGACATCTCGAACTAGAAAAGAGTTAGAAAGAGAGAGAGAGAGAGAGAGAGAGAGAGAGAGAGAGAGAGAGAGAGAGAGAGAGAGAGAGAGAGAGAGAGAGAGAGAGAGAGAAAAGAGGGAGGGGGGCGGAGAAAGAGAAAGAGAGAGAAAGAGAGTTGAATGGTAGAAGTGATTTCTCTCGACATGAAGTGCGGGTTTTTCCCCTACAAACTGTACGAAACGAACACGTTAATTACATCTTGCAATCTTTTCTAACTATGGTTAGATGGCTTACGTAATACACGGCGCCGTTATTGACTCAAACCGAGAGAATAAAAAGAATGAAAGAAAGAAAGAAAGAAAAACTTCTACGTCCATGTGAGTAACACGTTGATCATAATCATACAACGATATATAAATTTAGATTTTCGAATAAATATTATATGAAGAATATCGAAAAGACAATTTTTTACTTAGATAAACCAAAAGAAAAATCACAATCGTATTTCTCGTGACGGATTTAACGCCGCATGGATGATATGTGCTGCTTTTTTCATTCGTTCTTTTTTCATTCGTTCTTTTTTTTTTTTTTTTTTTTTTTTCCTAGACCTATCGTTAATATAATTTGTGAGTCAACGACGACACAGTTCGATACATATATGTATATACGTATCTGCGAACATTTAAATATGATTTCGATCTATGAATCTAACGGAATTAGACGAGTTTATTTTGTCAGATAGGTACTTTCCTTTTATTTTTTTTTTTCTTTTTTTTTTCTTTTCCTTTATTTTTTTGTAACGAAAAAAATGATCAAAGAAAAAGATTAAAGAACTTTACATTGCCCTTACTTTATCAGATTTTTCTTCGTGGTATCCTTCCTTATCGATATACACGATGGCGATACTTGATCACTAAATAAAAACAGAAAGAGAGAGAAAGAGAAAGAGAGAGAGAGAGAGAGAGAGAGAAAGAGAAAGAGAGAGAGGAAGAAAGTGGAAAGTGACGTGATCCTAAGAGAAAGGAGAAAAAAGAAAAAGTGATATTAAAAGTGGATTCTTCGACTAAGGCGCCTCTTTAGACGATCGCGATCACAACACTGACCATTGAGTGTCATAAACGCAGGAGAGAATACACGAGGAACGATAAGAAGAGGGAGAGGAATGCTGGTAGGCCTGAAGATCACAACACAACGATCGCGACGATTCAAAAGAGACAACTGAGACGACAAAGATCATTTGGTGCGTGCCAAGAGATAACGATGAGCACGGTATAACAGTCGGCTTGATACTAACATTATTGCCATTACTGCCTACTTTTGATATTCGAAGATACCATTAATGATTATTTTTTTTCTCTTTTTTTTTTTCTTTTTTTTCGCAATGAAAGAAAGAAAATGAAACAAAAAGAAAACGAAAAAAAAAAAGGAAGAAAGAAAGTAAGAATTAAGATGAAAGAAAATGAACAATATCAGAATCGTGGTCTTTCGCGACGAATTTCTAACATTATTTCTTACGATGAGTACCACCGTCGTTTCACGTTCGTTCCATTTTGTTATCACATTCTCCTTTTTTTTTCTTTTTCTTTTTTTTTTCTTTTTTTTTTTTTCTTTTTTTTTCCTTCTTTTCCTTATTCCTCCTCATTAACGTCTTATTAGACACGAACACGTTGATTTGATGCGTCAAGCGAACGAATCTACGCGCAAATTGAAATATCTATAACTAAAATAAAATATCTAAAACTAAAATTGAAATATCTTAAAATAAGTAATAAAAAATTATTTTGACAATTTTTTAAAAGATATCATTTAATTCTATATTGAATTTGAAATTTATTACACGTAAGATCGTTTTACAGATTAATTAGAAATCCACGAATAAGCGAAAGCTTCTAATCTCTTTATATAATATTATATATATATATATATATATATATATATATATATATATATATATATATATATATTTATGATAAATAATTGTCGGTATTTTAATCAGTGAGTTATAATTGTAAAACGTTGGTTACTAATTGATCGTTGCGAGAAATCGCGTAACTTATCGCTCTGATGACGAAATGTAACTTTGCGCGCCGTTTCTACTTTATCGTTACTTTCTATTATTTTTCATTTCTCATTTTATCGTTCGTTCATACACGGAGACTCAATAATGGCAACTGGTTAACTTTTATCTTCTTCTTCTTAAACGTATAGCATCATCACGCACTAAAACTATCGATAAACATCGGGATGCTATTATCGATCTAAAGATTACACATGAATCATTGATGATAGTTTATTATAGGAATTCGATTATTCTAACAATTTTCAAAAAGTTTATTGAACTCAATGAAGAAATAAACATGGAGAAAGAAAATTTGGAAAAAAAGAGAAAAAAAAAAGAAAAAAGAAAAAAAGAAGTAAACATGGAGTGACGATATTTCACGAAATTTTTGACCGAAATAACGTTTAATAAATTTCGATAAATACACATATCTTATTTGTGATGACATATCGCTGATAAAGTATTATACGCTAAACATTAAGCTTAACATTTTTTTTTTATCACTGCCAAAAGATAGAAAGAAAGTGAAAGAAAGTATATGCACGCGCATTTATGTGTGTTTATGTATGTATGTATGTATGTATGTATGTATGTATGTGTGTGTGTGTGTGTGTGCGTGAGAGACAGAAAAAGAAATGTCATTTATGTATATATTTACAAGTAACACGTCTATGGATAAAAAAACAAAAAAAAAAAAAAAGAAAAAAAAGAAAAAAAAAGAAGAGGAAGAAAGAAAAAGAAAAAAGAAAAAAGATTGAAAACCTCGAACTGAAGGAGGAGGAGAAATTATAAAAATATGAAAACTATATAAGTAACGTAGTCGTAATAATTTTGAATGAACGATCGAAGAAGAAAAAAGAAGAGATGAAACGTAAAGAGCGCGCATTTGATAGATAAGAAATGAAACATTTATGAGAAGTTATGCGAATAGCTATAACGTATAAGAAGGAACTCTTCGATTTATCTACGATTTTCAGCTTAGATAAGCGATTAGAATGCGTTCGCTAATGTACAGTAGTAGTTATTAAGAACAAAAGATATCTGTTTTTCTTTCCGCAATCGATTATATAAAAGTTCGTATGTGTCACTCGAACAGGATCAAGGTTATCGATCATCTAACTTTTTTTTTTTTTTTTCTTTTTTTTTTTTTTTTTTTTTTTTTTATTTAAACCAATCCAAGTAAAACTCACGTTGTAATCAATATGTATTTTTCTTATCGTTTCGCATAAGATTCTTTTTATATTCTTTGTTAGTTTTTTTTTTTTTTTTTAATAAAAATCATTTTTCGATGATTTTGCCATACGCATCATATTCGTATCATCAATGAAGTCTAACGCACGTTAAGTCGTGGAATATCTAATGTAACGTTTAGGAACGCGTAATGTATCGTATATTACTTTTGAACTTATTTATATCTATTTATTTATTCTCTCTCTCTCTCTCCCCCCTCTCTCTTTCTCTATATCTCTATCTCTATCTCTATCATATCACACATTTTTTTTCTTTTAATACAATCGTTACGATACACTTTAAAATAGTTTCTAATTATCTACAACGTTTGCTATTATATAAACTAGTTATCGGGATCAATGCCGTTTATGGCCCAGAGCGAATGATCAACGAGAAATTCTAACTGATTGAGCGATGGCTGGTAAAAAAGATTTCTTTTATGCCAACGATGGAAAAGTTAGATTCTTTTCGAGGAACGATTTTTATTATCTAAAGAGTCATTCATACAATGTGATCATAGAAATTTAATAAACACGAATAATTTATTTTTTGTTTTTTTTCTTACTTTAAATCTCTCTTCTCAGAGAGAATCTGAATATAAATTCCTGTTGGAGGAGATAAAAATTATGAAATAAAAACGAGAGAGAGAGAGAGAGAGAGAGAGAGAGAGAAAAGTAATTACAAAAAAAAAAAAAACAAAAAAAAATGATAAAAAATAAAAAAAAATTGTTGCATGAGACAAACGTTGTTATAAGAAATGCAAAGATAAAATCATGAAAATAATATAACGACGATGATTTATATATGGTAAAAAACAACATGCATGTCAGATAGCAGAGAAAAGAAAGAAACAATGAAGCGCATATTCCAACGTCCGAATTTATACATAAAACTGCGTGGGCTGATTCGCGAAGGTTATAAGAACAGTGCACTCGAACGGATAAACTGACGTCGGGAAAGATCGTCTATCGGGTTATTTTTAAGATGATCGTCGTTCTTGCTTTCCGACCTCGGCAACCTTGACTGAGGAAAAGATCTCTTTCTTTCCGAGATGTTTTTTTTCCAAAAACAATCGATACGCATATAAATGCAATAAACCGATGCGTTTTATATGACCTTTCATAGTTTTAAACTTCTAAATTGTATCGAATTTTCTTTAATAAATGCATATATATTTATATATATATATATATATATATATATATATGTATATATATATATATATATATATATATATATGTATATATACATATATTCTCAATCATTTTGAACAGCGACAAAACCCATGAGTACAGAACGAAAAATAAAAGAAGAAGTAAACGACGTTCTTGCTAAAATTTGGCACTGTTTTCCGTATCTCTGTGATTCATGAAAAATACCAATGCGAAGCAGAACTTGGCTAAACTTGCCCCTGCTATCTCTGTAGAAATTTAACGAATATCTAAACGACGATCAAGAATAATTCGACTTCCAGGAAATCGAAGACATATATAAACATGTATGAAGGAAACAAAAAGGTACGCATATGATATATAAACGATCGAAAGGTGAAATATAATTTGATTTGAACGAAAACACTTATCATCCATTTAACAAAAAAAAGAGCAAAAAAAAAAAAAAAAAAGAAAAAGAAAAAGTCTAATTTCTTTGTAATTGTCTTTCTAAAGGTTCTTCTTAAATATCCAACATTATCCTCTTTCGAATTAACAAATAACTTTTACAAACGAGAATTTCATTCTGTTTTCTCTCTCTCTCTCTTTTTTTTTTTCTTTTTCTTTCGATCGATTTTTCTGAAAAGAAAATAAAAACACGCCACGATTAAGATGATGATGGATTAGAGCTTTTGTTAAAATGAAATATTTGAAAGATATTATAAAAAAAAAAAAAAAAAAAAAAAAAAAAGAAAAGTCGAGAGTATCGATAGAATTGTAGATAACGATTAATATATGACTATATATTTATCGAGAACGATGTTCGCTGACATTGATATCGTTTACAAAGAACATTGACGGCGTCGTTGAACCTCAAAAAAATAGCTTGCCATTTTTTAAAAATCGATCAATCATTATTCGAACATAAAAGGATCTTCTGGAACGATAAACAAAGATAAGAGAAAATTCGCGCTTATTGTTATCTATATTTAGCTATACTAGTCGATTGCAAGTATAGTTCTATCGTGGAGCTTCTGAAGCGACGTTAAAGCGCAATTAATTGCTTTGATACGATCGATTGGGTAACGAAGAGACAACGTGTAAAAGAACGCCATCGTGTCATATGTAGTTCAATTGTGGTAATCTTCACTGGTCATTGAACGAAAACTATTAGATTGATCAATAAGTAACGTTGGAATTTTCAATATAAAAAATATTAATGCTATTCATTTAGATATTTAAATACTACATAATGTTATTTATTTAGATATAAATGTTTTCAACAAAATAAAATTTATTTATATTTATTTATATTCTTTTTTTTTTTTGTTCGAATAAAAAAGATTTGAAAATTTTCAATTAAAAAAAATTACTATGTAGTGTTATTTATTTAAATATATCAAATGTTTTCAAATAAAGAAAAGAAAAGAAAAAAGAAAAAAGAAAAAAGAAAAAAGAAAAAAAAAAAGAAAAGATACTATACTTGTATTTATTATTACGGTTATT